TCTCCCTGACATGGCTGCTTCAACACTAACTGCGGTTACTGAAACCATGCCTTCTTTCTTTGCGTGCACATTTGGGCGGCATTATGCTAATATTTCCACATAGTGAGGTAGATATGTGGGGGCGTGTTAGAACGAGCCGTTTTAGGGGGGGCGTGGCAGAGTCTTAACTTTGATAAAGAATATCTCTTTGGTTTTGAGACTTTAGTCTTTGCAACTTCAGGGATCTTATCTATGCACAATCAGCTTGTAACACTCCAAAGAGAAAGGAAAACTTGAAGTTGCATCATATGACCCCTTTAGGCTTAGAACTGCTTCGAAATCATTGAAAAATGATTCTAGTATTAAATGTATATTCTGAAAAAATTACAATGTTTTCTGACCTTGGGTGCATTTAAACCTGTTGTAAGGGACTCCAACACAATATTAGGACACTTTAAAATACCATATGACCTGCTCTTTAAACGGTTATAATATTGTGAGGATCACAGCTGAAGAAGTGGGACGCGAGCCACCGAATAGCCCACCCTCTTCACGCACATCTCACAGCTGTAAGCGCAATACGGAGGGAAAAACCCCTCCGTAGCATTGCACAACATATTATAAGAAGTGGGAATGCGATAAGCAATAAAGCCCATTTTCTTAAATATATAGTTCAGTCATGAAACTCTAGATGGCGCAGGCTGACGGGGTGTTAACATAACTGATGATATTCAGAGAGTTAAATGACTTGGCACAAGCTGATTGTTTCATGCTGCATATGCAGCCAATGAGCTTACTGCCTTGCTTGCATATGACTGGCTAGCATTCACTTGAGATTCCTGCAGGTATCGCCATATGCATTGGCAGTAGCAAGTTCCTGTACTTGCTTGCAGCAGCAGCAATAATCTACAACTACAGCAACAACCAACAGCAGAAGCAATTCAGCAGCAGCGTAGCAGATCTGTTCCGCCAAGACCAAATACATTAACATTGTCATATCCATCACCATGCTAAAATGTTCCGAGAGTTGTCATGATTGAAATCGTTTCAATATTGTGAGAATCACAGCTGAAGAAGTGGGACGCAAGACGCGGAATAGCCCACCCTCTTTGCATGCATCTCACAGTCTTAGGCGCAATACAGAGGGAAAACCGCTCTGTCCCTTTTTTACGCAATGGATATAAGAAGTGGAATGCAAGAGGCAAAATGCCCATCTTCTTGAAATCATAGTTCAATTTCGTAACACTGTGAGGATAACAGTTGAGGAAGTGGGATGTGAGTCGCGAAATAGCCCACCCAAACACATCTCACAGCTTAAGTGTGATACAACGGGGAAGCCTTACCATACTATTGTACCACAAGAACTGGGTAGACTACTTACAAATTGTAATCAGTTACTGATTGCAAATACATGACAAAAATTGTAGTTAGTAAAGAAAAAGAAAATATATTTAATTTGTTGTAAAAGAAAGCTAATAATGAATTCAATCATAAAAATGAAAAATAAAAATCTCAGGGGTGTTTTAAAACATTAAGACATGGGACCTCAGGGTTTCAATTTGCTCTTCTTAGCCTCGATGACCCTTCCGCCAGCTGGGCCCAGCAGCAGGCTCAGGTTCAGGTGGGAGAACAGAAGGACACTGCCAATAGCGAGGGATGTGGCATTCAAACGCCGCAGACTTAACCCTCGCCTCCCTGAATTTACGGACTACTGTCCTTAACCCTCGCCTCCCTGAATTTACGGACTACTGTCCCAACAGCAGTTCCAAAAAGTCCGGCAGGCGAAACAGGGGCATCATGGAGAAGGGACCTGTCCTTCTCCTTTAGCCCTGACAGGTTAATGCCACAAATGCCTCTCCGGGACTGCAAGAGAGTGGCCGATGACAAGAGCCGCTTGCTTGGACGCACAGAGGGCAAGATCGGAAAAGCAGCGGAGCTCCTCGAATTCAGCAGGAGCCACGCCCCCCTGCTGCATCAGCATCCTTTAGCAGGTCCGCCTGTTATGCCTGCAATATCGAAATGGTATGCAGGGTACCGCCGGCCTGCCCAACCACCGCATATGCCTTGCCCACGAGCTTAGATGTAATTTGGCATGGCTTCGAGGGCAAGGTAGGAGCCTCGAACCCTGTCACATCTAGCTCCTCGGAGCTACAGTGGCCGAGTAACATGCTCTCTGCCGGATCGGAAGAAACCAGAGACCCGGCTTCCAGATTCGGTTCGAGAGCAACAGAACTGGCGACCGAGGATCTGGCTCGTCAGCCAGATCCAACCGCAAGCCCCACGATTGCAGACAGAGCTCTGCCTCGGCAGCAGAACCGGGGGGTGCAGACGCTTGGCTTCCGTCCTCCGCAAAGAGAGGCAAGCGGAAGCGCAGCAGCTTTATCGTGAAAGAATCACGAGAATCTCGAGAGCTGACCATGCATGCTGCGCTCCCAGACACATCACACATAGCTCATGGGGATGGTGTGATGGGTGTGATGAATCTATTGCACGGTGGAACACATCTTTGAAATCAACGCTCACTCATGCTTTCTTATTTTTCTCTTTTGTTCACGTCCTTCCACACACGAGCGGAAGCGCAGCAGCTTTATTGTGAAAGAATCACGAGAATCTCGAGAGCTGACCATGCATTCTGCGCTCCCAGACACATCACACATAGCTCATGGGGATGGTGTGATGGGTGTGATGAATCTATTGCACGGTGGAACACATCTTTGAAATCAACGCTCACTCATGCTTTCTTATTTTTCTCTTTTGTTCACGTCCTTCTACACACGCACACACAAACAAATGGCTCCTAAAGACAAGAAGCTGATGACGTATTCTACAGGTGCCCTTTTATACTCTTGGTCGCACCAGTAGCACGTCATAGGCCAATGTTAAGTTCATTGTTATGTTTCCACATGCAATTCAGACACCGTTTATGCTGAAGGCGTTCCACCAAAGTATCCTCAAGGGGACGCAGTGCGAGTTCCCATTCGAAGGGGAACCAGTGTTTTGACTGTGTAGTTGCATATGTTTAAATGCTCATACATCTTCTGACCAGCACAAATCCAACAAGTGTTACTATACCACAAGCAATAGCAATGGAAAATTACTGCTTCACCACAACATCATGTGACATTAAAAACCATGATTTAGAGACATTCTTTTAACTCTTTTAATTGTGAAGAAAAAATCCCTTGAAACCACACCATCATAAGATTTAACAACAATGAAAATATAATATAATATAATATAATATAATTTAATATAATTTGACTGATCAATGCAATGAAGCAATGAAATGAGCATATAATTGTTTAAATGATTATTATAAATGATTATTAATGAATGGATGAATGAATATAAAATAAATAAAGAAAATAAAACAACACAAATGTATGTTTGCTCTCTTGAAGTAACACAGACACAAGCTGCTACAAAGAGTCCTTAGATCATTCAGTTGTATGATTATACTATTATACAAAATAAAACAAACACACACACTCACAAAATAAATTATATTAAAACAATTATATTATATTATTATATTAAGAGAAGACATATAATTAAAAATCATTTTCTTTATGGAGAAAAAAAATATATATATATAATTTTATATGTATATATATATATATTTTTTTTTTATATTTTTAATATTTTTATTTTGTAGAATTTGTTGTTACTTGTCTGTGCTTTTGAACATTCACTCAAACAATTATTATTTTATGTTAACTGGTCATTTTTTATTAGACATTTGTAAGGTTATACAAATCTATTTTGTTTTTACACCTCTGAATATGTTGCTTATTTTGTTCTGTGCATCATAGGTAATATTACATGCACTGCCAGACTGATAAGGATGAACCTCACAATTGCTGACTGCACACAGGAAGTCGAGCTGCCCATTTGTGAGGGCCAGTGTGAGACACACAACAGGCAAGTTTAACATCATCAGTCTGTTTCTAAAATAAGCTAGAATAATTTAGTCTTCATTATTTTAGAGGCACAGACACTTTGTTAGCTGGATGTTCATGTAAAGGTCTGTTGTATTATTACAAAGATAATATGCAACTAAAAGCAATAAGCACACACCTGCCAATCATTAATTAGTTCCTTGACAATAGCCGTTTGGCCACTATAGGGTATTGTCAGAACATTTGACATTTTTTTTTCAGCACAGGGATTTTTTAGATTTCAAATGTATGAATATTGAGTCTCATCCCCCATTTTAGAAACATTTGAGCATGACAAATAATTGTATTTTCATATCGGCCAATTATTTGCAGCTTAGACTATAGTGCAAAATAATGTGCTTAAATTGTGGAAAAAGACAAAATGTATCGAGCTATTTACAAAGACAATATTAACAAATGAAGTTAAGGTAAAGTAAAAAAAAAACAAAAAACAGTACTCTACTGAGGTTTAATGTATTCATACTTTGCATGTATATTGTTCATATGTTCATGTTATATTTTTAAATAATTTTTCCTTAGGGGAGGCATTTAGCCCCATGCAATAGCTAAGATGCAAATAATTTCCTAATATGAAAGTACAATTATTTGTGATGAGGGATGAGATATAATCTCAGAAACTTTGACCCTATGAATTTTTACTGAATTATAATAGGACCACACATTTTGTGCAAAAAACAACTGTAATATTGTACAAAATATTGTTTATTGTGTAATACTGTTTAGTGCTTTATCTCTGATTTTAAAAACCGAATGTAGCCATTGTAACATTTGTATATGTGGCCCCTGAGTTTAGCAGTTATTTGTTGTCTTGCAGGTGGGTTCATACTAATGACACACTTCAGCTTGAACAGAGTCACCAGTGCTGTAAGGAGAGAAGTTATGAGATGAGAGAAATCACTCTGACTTGCAGTAAAAACTCCCCAACCCACTTCACATATAGACATGTCACAGGCTGCGAATGCAAGGTTGAAGGTTAAGTTTACCTGACATACAAATGCATGAAAATGTCAGTTACTGTTACATGTGATTAACTTGGTGTGTGTGTGTTGTATATGCACACTTAATAATTATCTGCTGATGTGTGGGATGATTTAGTACATTTCAGTATATTTCAAGCAAATCAACTTCATTAATTGTCAATCATCTGTCTGTGCAAAAATCAATGCTTTATCTTGTTTAAATAATAATCACTATTTTGTCTTGTTTTGCCAAAAACCTACTGCAGTATACTGTATGTGCAATATATTTCAATTATTACTTTACTTTGGACTGTTTTATGTTTTCTGACCATGTCACATATTAATAATGCCATGCTTGTGTGGGTCTGTACTTTGAACGTGATTTAATGACCAAATCAAACTTGATTTAAACCAGATATCAGGTGTCAAGACCTCAAAGACTTTTGTAATCCACTTTATGGAGTCATAATTCACAATAATCGTTAATTCAATAAAAAAAATAATTTGAAATCTGTGGTATTTTAATGTGTATTTGCTGTTACATTACCCTGTTATTAAATAATAATAATAATAATAATAATAATAATAAACCTTAAATATATGCATTCATTGCCCCCCCCAATGATAATAATATAGCTCTGGAAAAATTAAGAGACCACTGCAAAATTATCAGTTTCTCTGGTTTTACTATTTATAGGTATGTTTTCGAGAAAAAATAAAATTTTTGTTTTATTCTATAATCCACTGACAACATTTCTCCCAAATTCTAAATAAACATATTGTCATTTAAATAAAATGAAAAAAAAAAAAGATTCTGTGTTTTCAGAACTTGTCTGTTCCCCTCGTTTAGCCCTATATTTTTAGTGTCGTCTGTCCCATGTTCCCTGTCCGGTATTGTTCATCTCCTGATGGTGCTACGTGTGTCTCCTGCCTACCCTGTGTAACCCTTGGTTTGTCTATTACTGTAAAGACTGTTATTCCTGCAACTCATACGTCTCTGTGTTCCTCGCTCCTACACTGTAGCAACCGTGACATCTCAGGTAGCTTTATAGAAATACGCATACGGTTTATGAAAAAAAGAAGATGACAGAGACAAAATTAATGCAGTAAATGTTTTATTTGCAACAAGACATTACTGCAAGATAACAAAAATATGTGATACAACTGCCATCTATTATGTGAAAATAAAAAAATAAAAAAAA